ACTGACATGGGCGGCCTACAAATGGTGGGAGGCCTATGAGTTGAGCAGGCCAATCGGCTCTGTACAACTTATGTGGCACGATTTATAAGTTCTCTTCTTATAGAAATTGCTCCATACACTCGCAGAGAATGGTTGCAGAGGCAGTTTGAGCAGCTACACTAAGAGGGCATGTTAGTGAGTCAGTATGAGATGATATTTTCTGAGTTGAATCGTCATGCGGTATGGTTGGTTCCCATTGAGAGGGAGAGGATTATGAGGTTCATTGATGGAGTCAACTATGGACTATGTTTCAAGACTCGGGAGATTTCGATAGGTACGAGGTTTGACAAGATGGTTGATATTGCTTGATGCCTAGAGCTAGTTTGCAGTCAAGAGCATGAGGTGAGGGAGGCCAAGAGGCCTCATAGTTCAGGTAGTTTCAATAGTGCCTCATCTAGAGTGCAGTCCCATCACAACAAGCGTCGTCCTTATAGGCCCGCTCTAATGGCTCAGCCTGTTCATCGTGGTGCATTAGCTAGCCATGGTTCATATAGTGCTCGTCCGGGACAATCATCTTTCAGTACCCTCCCAGATCAGAGTCTATCCTATGCTTAATCAATTTAGGGTTCATCTGTACCAGGTTCTTCTAGTGGTTATTCTTGTTCTTAGGGTCCGATTCAGTACCCTCCGCCATTGTTAGATCAAGGTTGCTTCACGTGTGGAGATTTGGGGCATGTAAGAAGGTATTGTCCCTGTCTTATGAGAGGTCATGTTCAGTAGAGGGATCAGGCTATGAGTTCCGTGCCAGTTACTTCACCACCAGCTTAGCCAGCTTAGGGTGGGACTCAAGCAGTTCGAGGTCACCCTAGAGGGGGAGGTCAATCAGGTGGTGGTCAGGATCGATGCTATGCTTTTCCCACCAGGCCAAGAGTCGTTGCTTCAGACGCAGTGATAACATGTATTGTTTCAGTGTGCTATAGAGATGCTTCCATATTATTTGACCTTGGTTCCACTTATTCATATGTATCATCATACTTTCCTCGTTATTTAGATATGCCACGTGACTCCTTAGTTACACATGTTCATGTATCTATGTCGGTGAGTGATTCTATTATTGTGGACTGTGTGTATCGGTAATGTGTGGAGATCATTTAGGGATTAGAGATGAGAGTTGATCTTTTACTACTTAGTATGGTTGATTTTGACGTGATTCTAGGCATGGATTGGGGTTCACCATGTCATGCTATTGAGGATTGTAACGGTAAAACCTTGATGTTAGCGATGCCGTGATTGACTAGGATTGAGTGGAGAGGTTCTCTAGACTATGTTACCAGTAGAATGATTTCACATTTGAAGCCCCAATGGATGGTTCAGATGGGATGTATGGCATATTTCGCCTTTGTGAGGTATGTTGGTGCTGATACTCCTACCATTGAGTCTGTTTTGGTAGTATGGGACTTTCCGAATATGTTTCGTGTAGACCTGTCGGGCCTGCCACCCGACAGGGATATTGATTTTAGTATTGACTTGGTTCTGGGCACTCAAGCCATTTCTAATCCTTTGTACCACATGGCACCAGCACAGCTGAAGGAATTGAAAGAACAGGTTCAGGAGCTTCTTGATATGGGATTTATTAGGCCTAGTGTGTCGCCTTGGGGTGCACCGGTTCTGTTTGTGAAGTAGAAGAATTTTTTTTTTGTGTGAAGAAGAAGAATAGCATCATAAAGATGTGCATTGATTATAGGAAGTTGAACAAAGTTACAATTAAGAACAAGTACCCATTGTCGCGCATTTATGACTTATTTTACCAGCTTTAGGGCACTAGAGCATTCTCTAAGATTAATTTGAGGTCTGGGTATCACCAGTAGAATATTCGGGATTCTGATATTCTGAAAACAACATCCAGGACCCGCTATGGTCCCTACGAGTTCCTTGTGATGTCTTTTGGGCTGACTAATGCCTCAACAACATTTATGCATCTGATGAATAGTGTATTCTAGCCATATGTGTTTTTTTGCTAAATTCTCCAACTGTGAGATTTTGCTTGATTCTGTGGCGTTCTTGGGGCATGTGGTTTCCATTGAGGTTATCAAGGTAGATCCGAAATAGATTGAGGCAGTTTAGAGTTGTCCTTGACCGTCGTCAGCTACTGAAATTTAGAGTGTTCTTGGCTTGGCCGGATATTATCACTTTTTCGTGGAGGTTTCTATTCCATTTCTACACCTTTGACTAGATTGACCCAAAAAGGTGATCCATTCCGGTGGTCTGATAAGTGTGAGGAGAGTTTTTAGAAGCTCAAGACTGCCTTGACCACAACTCCGATTCTAGTTTTACCTTTAGCATCGGGTTCATGTACAATATATTGTGATGCTTCTTGGATTGGTATTGGGTGTGTCTTGATGCAGGACGGTATGGTGACTATTTGTGCTTCACGCTATTTGAATCCCCGTGAGAAGAACTACCTCGTTCATGACTTAGACTTGGCAACTATTGTTCGTGCATTGATGATTTGGAGGCATTATATCTACAACGTGTCCTGTGAGGTATTTATAGATCATCAAAGTCTACAGCACGTGTTTAAGCAAAATGATCTAAATTTGAGGCAGCGAAGATGGCTGGAGCTGTTAAAAGACTATGATTTCACCATTTTTTATCATCCTGGGAAGGCCAATGTGGTGGACGATGCCTTTAGTAGAATGGCATTAAGTACGGGCAGCCTTACATATATTCCAGTTGGTGAGAGACTGCTAGCAGTAGATGTTTAGGTCTTGGCCAATCAGTTCGTGAGGTTAGACGTTTCGGAGCCTAGACGGATTGTAGCTTGCATGGTCTCTTGCCCTTCTTCATTTGAGCGCATCAGAGAGCATTAGTATGACGACCCCCATTTGCTTGTCCTTAAGGACATGGTGCAACACAGAGTTTCCAAGGACGTTTCTATTGGAGGTGATAGGGTGCTATAGACGCAGGGTCGGGTTGGTGTACCAAATGTGGATGGATTGTGTGAGTTGATTCTTGAGAAGGCCCATAGTTTGTGGTATTTTATTCATCTGGGTGCCGCGAAGATGTATCGGGACATGAGGTATAACTATTGGTGGAGAAGAATGAAGAATGATATAGTGGAGTATATGACTCAGTGCTGGAACTGTTAGCAGGTGAAGTACGAGCATCAGAGGCCAGGAGGTTTGTTTTAGAGACATGAGATTCTTGAGTGGAAATGGGAGCGTGTTACCATGGACTTCGTTGTTGCGCTCCCATGAACTTTGAAGAATTTTGATGTTATTTGGGTGATTTTTGACCACTTCACTAAGTCCGTACATTTCAATCTGGTGGTGACTACCTATTCTTTAGAGTTGCTGGCTGAGATCTATATTTGCGAGATTGTTCTCCTTCGCAGTGTGCCGCTGTCCATTATTTTTTTATCGAGGCACGCAATTCACATCACAATTTTGGGGAGCAGTGTAGTGAGAGTTGGGCACACAAGTTGAGTTGAGCACAGCATTCCATCCCTAGATGGACAGATAGTCCGTGCGCTCCATTCAGATTTTGGAGGATATGCTACGCACTTGTTTATGGATTTTGGGGGGTTCTTGAGATCAGTTTCTACCACTTGCAGAGTTTGCCTACAACAACAGCTAACAATCGAGTATTCAGATGGCTCCTTATGAGGCCTTATATGGGAGGCGATGTCATTCTCCAGTTGGTTGGTTTGGGCCAGGAGAGGCTAGGTTGTTGGGTACTGATTTTGTTCAGGATGCCATGGAGAAAAACAAATTGATTCAGGATCATATGCACCTATGGCCTCTGCCCAACCTAGCCAGCCTATGCACCTGCGGCCTCCTATCGCTTCTACGACTTTGCACCTGCGGCCCCATTCTCACATGTGCGATCACACCAGGCATCAGAATAATTCAGCCAAGTTCTAAGTCCAAATTTAATCTGAAATCTATTTGAATCTCATTCAAGGCCCTCGGGACCCATCCAAACATACCAACACATCCTAAAACATGATACTAACTTAGTCGAAGCCTCAAATCACATCAAACAACATCTAAAATAGGAATCACACCCCAATTCAAGCCTAACAAAACTAATAGATTTCCAACTTCTTAAACCAATGCCGAAAGCTATCAAACCAACTCCGGTTGAACTCAAATTTTGCACACAAGTCGTAATTGACACAACGGACCTATTCCAACTTCCGAAACCAACTTCCAAACCCGTTATCAACAAAGTCAACTCTCGGTCAAGTGTCTCAATCTTTCAAACCTTCAACTTTCCAACTTTCGCCAATTCAAGCCAAAATGACCTATCGATCTCCAAATAAATATCCGAACATACTCCTAAGTCGAAAATCACCATACGGAGTTATCAGAACCCTAAAAAATCCATTCTAGAGTCGCATGTATGGTGTTGTCCTGCTAGATTCTCATGGTGGTTCAGTAACCCAATAAATCAAAGGATAATTTCTCCTGCCACTGTCCGTGATTTTACACTATCTTTTCATAACATGCTTTTGATTTTTTTATTGGCTGCTTCAACAACTCCATTCATTTGCAACCTATGGGCTATGGAACTAAGATGGACGATTCTGAACTTCTAGCAAATCTCCCTCATGAGATAGCTGTTGAGGTTGGCTGCATTATCGGTGATAATTAACTCTCAGATCCCGACTTGGCATACTATGTTGTTACAGATGAAATCTTCTACCACTTTCTTCGTAATGGCCTTGTATGTATAAGCTTCGGCCTGTTTGGTGTAGTCGTCCATGGCTACCAGGATGAAATGATGTCCATTTGATGCAGCATGCTCTATAGGTCTAATCATGTTCATGCCCAAGCGGCGAACTGCCAAGGAGAACCTATTACATTCACCTAGTTAGGTGGAACCTGGTTGCAATCCCCGTGAATCTAGCACTGGTGACACTTCTACATGTAACGAATATTAACGCTTTCCATGGTCATCCAAAATTATCTAGCTCTTAAAATCTTCTCCGCCAAAGTGAAACCATTCATGTGAGGTCCTCATGTTCTTGCGTGTATTTCTTCCAGTAATCTGGTTCCTTCAGCGGCATCTACACACCTTAATAGATTAAAGTTTGGTATCCTCCTGTACAATAATTCCTCGTTAAGGAAAAAGTGATTTGCTAGTGTTCGTAATGCTCGTTTCTGACCACGGGTGGCATTATCACAGTATTCGCTTGGTTTAAGGAACCTTTTGATGTAGTAGTACCACGACTTATCGTCTACCTCTTCATCTACATGGAAATAGTACGTGTGCTGATCCCAAAACTCTATCTCAATTGGGTTGATGTAATTCTTATTTGGATGTTGGATAATAGATGACAAGGTTGCAAGAGCATTGGCAAACTCATTCTGGATTTTGAGAACATGTCTGAATTCGATCTTGATGAATTTATTGCACAACTCTTTCACACATTGCAGGTATAGAATGCTCTTGACACTTTTGGCAGTCCATTCACCTTGAACTTGATGTATCAGTAGATTAGAATCTCCTATGACCAGAAGTTCCTTGATGTTCATGTCGACTGCCATCCTAATCCNCCTTCAGCGGCATCTACACACCTTAATAGATTAAAGTTTGGTATCCTCCTGTACAATAATTCCTCGTTAAGGAAAAAGTGATTTGCTAGTGTTCGTAATGCTCGTTTCTGACCACGGGTGGCATTATCACAGTATTCGCTTGGTTTAAGGAACCTTTTGATGTAGTAGTACCACGACTTATCGTCTACCTCTTCATCTACATGGAAACAGTACGTATGCTGATCCCAAAACTCTATCTCAATTGGGTTGATGTAATTCTTATTTGGATGTTGGATAATA